AAAAAAAAAAAAAATTCCAGCGCGATTTAATTTTTTGATATACATGTGATAGAAAAATCAGATCTTAATTGACATATGAAAAATTTAAAATTATACACTTGTTAGTTTGAGAACGAGTTGTTTGATATTGTCTAGCTCGTATTGAGTAGTGTCTTGATGTCCATCATACTGATCTACCCATGAAAGGGTTTTCTCCCGGAGTAAATTGAGTGTTTCTAAGGTATATTGGAAACTATTTGTCTCTTCAAGGAAATTCAATGCAAATTTCTTGATTTGAATATCCTGTGTTCGTTGTTTTAAGATCCCCATCAATGTTTGGTCATCTCTGTTGTTATTTAATGAATGGATTATAGGGAACGAGAATTTACCTTCACTTATATCTTCACAAAAACCTTTGTTTAATGTTAAATCTTCACTCTTGAGATTCAAGTAATCATCTCTGATTTGATAAATTATCCCCAAGTAATTTGCCAATGGGATTAAGCTTGTTGTGTCAGTCGTTTTAGCGAAATGTTCCATCAATCTAACAGCTAATCTAAATAATCCACCTGTTTTATTCATTACCATATTAATATATTCAGATTCTTTTGGGCATATTAAATTCTCTCTCCAATAAAGATCAAGACTTTGGCCTCTATGTAAATTTATCATTTCTTCATTGAAAACAGTTACCAATTGGGGATCTAATTCTAATAATTGTTGTAAAGCCTGGAAATACATATAATTTGAAGAATTTATAGTATAAGCAACACCAAATATAAGATGAGCGGTTGGATTACCTCTTCTTAGATTGGATCCATCTTCAACATCATCAATCAATAGAGAGGCGGTATGAAGCATTTCAATAATTGTGGAGATTTGATCTATTGTAGATTGTGGTAATTTATAAATTGTGTTGAATAATTGGATCAATTGAGTTCGTAGATGTTTACCTGGTGTTGTCTTCAAGTAATGGAATGGAGCGGTTATGACTTTTTCCTGAGTAGCTGACCAAGTTGGAGCCTGGATGATTTCATCAATATATTTTTCCATTCTGAAGTTTCTATATTGTCTATTTTCTTTTTGTGAATCAGTTGGTTTCTTGTTGATTTTGTGAATGTTTTTGATCTCGTTTATTTCGTTGATTTATTCCGATGGCGTTCATTTTTCAATGTGTCAAATTCGCTTTTCAGTCAACAAATCATAACCACAACAAAATAATCAAAAAGTGGGCAATAACTAAGATATCCACTAAAATTCCAACTACACGATCACAATACACGAATATTATCCTTTATACTAATCATTTATACAAGATCTATATATATATAAATATAACAAACCAAATCAATTAACCTGGTGGTAATTGAGAAACATCAACAACATCATCAGCATCAGGAGTTGAAACTTCATCATTTGAAACACCAGCAATTGGAGTTCTTGGTAATGCCATCATACCAGATCTTGCAACTTCCAAAACACCAAATGGACGAATTAAAGTTAAGAATGATGAAATTCTTGATGGTTTAGCACTTAATTCCACAATACAATTTCTATCACTAATATCAACAATTTTACCACCAAATTGTTCAACAATTTTTTGGATTGCACTGAAATATTCATTCTTTAATCTTAAAACTTCACTTATTGTTAAGTTCTTTGGATGGTATTTAGCACCACTTGCTTCTTTATTAGATTCACCAGTTAAATCACCATGATGTTGTAATAAATCTTCAAAATATTCTGGACCTAATAATGAAACTCTTGCTAATAATAATTCTCTCTTGATAATTTCAGCATTTGAATAATCTAAAACAGCATAAACTGGAACTAAACCTTCGATTTGTCTTCTTGCTTGTTCAATAACAGCATCTTTTTCTCTTAAGCAAATAGTCATTCTTGATAAATCTTTAACTTCAGTATTTGAAACAACTAAAGAATCAATGTTAAAACCTCTAGCAGCTAAAGTACCAGAAACTAATGATAAAACACCTGGCTCATTTTGAACTAAACAGTTCAAGACGTGTTGTTTAACAGGTGGTTTAACATCTGATGGTGATTCATACAAGATTGAAGCAACAGCAGATTCAGCACTCCATTTTGGAGTTTCTAAAGTTGGTAGTGGAGGTCTTTTCTTATTTCTCAATAATTTATATGCTAAAGCAGCAGTTGAAGATGAGTTTTGTCTTATACCAGACATGCGTGTAGCATGATTGGTAATGGAACTTCTCAATAGAGCACTCATTCTTTGATATTGAAAGTTGAAGTTGTGGATCTAAAGATGATTAAAAGTTGCAAAGATCTGGAGAAATGAGTTGTTGATAGGTGAATCACAACTTTTTTCACCAAAAATTTGTTCGCGAATTATAAGGTATGACTGGATAACCGGAGGGTAAATTATCAGGTATTCTATGAGCTATACGCGGGTTTAAAAGTAATTGATGAATATCTTTATCAGTTTGCATGATTTCAATAGCATATAATAGGCTATATTCAAAGTTTTATTGCATTTGTAGATGAAAGTTGGTGGAAATTTGGTAATGTTATAGTTTTGCTCCGGAGCGATAACGGTGAACTACAACTCGAGTATTTTGAAACTAAAAAAATCAATAGAGTGGTGTTAAGACTGAAGAATTCGACTTTGCAATCTGAATATCATTCAAGTCTTTCACATTCCTGTATATTAATATACTCACAGACGTCCAGCTATAATATGATCAAACATGATCCTGCTTATATATTAACGTCAATCTATGAACATATATCATGACTAGCTTAAACACAATCTCAATATTGGAGAAATAATATTTGAAGCGTGTGCCGCGTCAACTGTTGAACTATATTGAAGAAATAATTTCATTTTGAAAGCCTGTATAGTACACCTGAAAAAGAACATATAAAAATATATTGGAGACAAAAAGTATATTAAACTTTCTTTGAATTATGATAAATTGAAAGTCGATTATAATTTTTACGCTCCTCATTAAAATACCACTGACGTCCCGGATGGGAGTTTTTTTTGTATGGAAGCTTAACTATGGGGAGTGGCCTGTTCAATTTATTGGAACCAATTTTCAAATTTAAACCAGGCCCTTCAATAACCGAGCAGAGCAAGTAGTACAGGACAAAAAAGGACAAAAATCTGGGACATTTTGACATTTTGCTAGGCTCGGTATAGATTTCTACTGATCTGTCTTCTATTGTTCTAGAATTATATATATGATTCTATACATTTTATAATGAATATCAATTATATACAACTATAGATCACAGCCTACCAACACATTAAAAGAAACGACCACCCTTTTGCAAATTCTTTCTTCACAACAGCAAACAATTGAAACTTCAAAAGCTAGTTAAAGATGGTAAACTCTTTGGTCCAAAAGCTATATCTTCAAAATTGCAACGGATATACTCACCAGCGTAGTTAATTGATATTCTCTAGTATATAAGAGTTAGTTTCAAAAGGATCTTTAATTAATTAAAAACAATCAGAAACTCACCAATCATAACATATATATCTGTCGACATGCCAGTCTTTCAAACGTTTTCTATAGTATAATATTAGTAACTTGCTATCTCTGTATTTTTGTGGTAAATTGAGTCTCACAATATCGTTTGTATCTTATGCTTTCAGTAGAAAGATAAGTTTCTGTTAATGAAGTTTGGTGTAATCCAACACCCATGTTGTAGTAGAAAGAAGAAGAAATCCATAAAGGGGAAATTTCATGATTTATATAGTTTTCAGGCCAAAAATACTGGGGTGGAAGGCGTGCCCTCAAACCACTTATCTTTGTTAAATTTTCTGTAAAAATTAATTTATATACATACATGATATTGATTCTAACGTATTTATATTGAATGTTTTCGATTCAACATAAAACACAAGAAGATTCAATAAGGATATGAAATTTTAGATAAATTAATCGGTACTCATGGTAGCAATTAAACCAATTGAGAATATACTATTGATGGTCACCAGCATACAGAGTCCCAAAGCTGTATAACTAACCTTTGATTTGAATTAAATTACAAGATGAGGTCCAAAGCTTCAATGAAAGCTAGCTTGATCGGTTGAATCAATGTACAAAGAAATTGCAAAATATCACATATCACTACTGTATGTTAACTTTGCTTGGTTTTTATTTAATTTGTTCCTAGGTGAGCGAACATGTTATTCATGCGCATTGCTATCAATAAAATCATATTGAATTCAAACACATAGTTTTGGTCCATTAAGGAAATATGTTGTAATAAATCAATGAAATTCATTGAATTATACTCTTCTGAGATCATAGCTCAACCATCTTGATTGTTGTATGAGATCCTCAGTTATCTTCATCTAGTATTTGGTATACAAGATAATTTTGTATACAATTTTCGACACGTTATGTATTATACATTATACAATATAGTGTTCCAGTAGGTCTAACAATGAAA